AAGGTGGCTGTTCAGTCTTACATTAATAGGCTGCCCAATTTTGCCTATATATTGTTTTCTAAAGGTGGCACACTCAAAACGGTATATTAGGTTGTTTGAAGTGCAGGTGAAGCTTGATGTGACCTTGTGAGTGTAATCAGATGCTGTGCTTTTTACGGCGGTAGCCGGCTATATATGTTTACAGGTGGAGCATCTGGGCCGGCCACAGACATTGTCCTAGTCTTTGCTTTAAGCTTTGCGTGAACAAGCATGTCTTTACAGTTAGCGTTGTGTATGTAGGCGACCTTAGGCACTTAAGGAAGGATTTTCTTAAGTTTTTGGTTGGTTGTTAGAATTGGATAGTATTTTGTGAAGATGTTGTTTATGTTAAGGAGTGCATTAGAAAGCTTTGTAATGAGAAGAGTTGTAGTTGCCATTGTTGTGCTTTTGGAGGGCAGTTTGAGTGCTTTATTGCAGTCTTCTTCCAGTGTACCCGTATAAGCTTTGACAAGGAATATGTAACGATAGTTTCTGTCTGGCAAGTGTGTTTACGTAATCCTCATTTTCTATGCATATGTGGTGTAACCTTGTTGCTCGATTCTTTAAAAATGCCCTGTTTACAGTGTCTCGGGTAGTGGCTTGTATAATCCAAGTATTGTTGCTTGTGAAATGGTTTTATATACAAAGTTGTCTTTGGTACGACATTTTCAAAATATATGGTCGTGTCTTGAAAGTTGATGCGCTGAGCTGAAGTATTGGAGGTAAACTTTGTTGTATGAAATGAGTTTAGGAATGAAGTGAACTTATCTAGATTGTCCCGCCCATGTCCCCATATTATAAATATGTCATCTAGGTACCGAAGGTACCGTATTTACTCGATTCTACCGCGCCCTCGATTGTAACGCGTACCCGGTTTCCACGACGAAAAAAAAAAAAAAGTAAGGCATTGATTGCGATGCGCACCCATTTTTCTCGTTGGTCCGCACGATCACACCACTTGAAAAAATGACTCCTTTCGGGAGCGTCTTCCATTTAAATATGAGGTACGGGGGAAGCTTGTGCCCATCTGACGTGTAACAGAGCATTGCCGTCACTGTAGTTTTATCGTGGACTGATGTCAGCACGCAAACTTGCTTCGCCCCCTTTTTCTCGACGGTTGTGGTGCCAGGCATGTCGAAGAGGCGTCTGATTGGCATTCCCGATTTGCCCAAGCAGGTAGTCGTTGTTATGCCGCAAGTTTAGGACGAACCTCTAAAAACTGTGAGGCTTTTCATCGTACTCCTCTGAAAACTTTTCACATATGCCCGTTCGCCTTCGGAGGGAAAAGCCTTTCCTCTTCATAAAGTTAGTTAGCCAGCACTTTCTCGCTTTAAACTGGCTCCGCATTAGCCCTTTTTCTAAGGCTAACTGCATAACCCGTCCTTGGAGCAGTTCTGTCGTCACGGGCCGCTGTGCCGCTCGCTGCTCAAGCGCATACTCGCCGAGCATCTCTTCAATTTGCGGAAACCGACCCTGCTGTGGTCCACTGAAGCCTTTGCGTGAAGCTTTGCTGTCGACAATCTTCTGCTTGTGTTTCCGCCAGTCCCGCACGCACGTTTCGGGAACTCTGAACGATCGCGATGCGGCCCGATTTCTGTCCATTTCTTCACACGCGATGACTTATCTTTTAAAATCGGCATCGTGGTGCACTCGAGGTTTTGGAGTCAGCCCTTCCATGCCGTCGATGCTAATGCACTACAAGGTGACGAACTCCTCAGCACACGTACGAAGTGCCGCTTATGGGAAACACATAGGCAGAAACGGCCGACGCGCCATGTCAACGCACGGGCGGCACGTAGGGGGCGGCCATTTTGGAAATGCCGATGGCAACAGAATGACCATATTCATTTTTTTTTCGTACTCGATTCTAACGCGCATGCGATTTATCAACTAGCTTAACCGAAAAAAGGTGCGCGATAGATTCGAGTAATTACGATATGTGTGAGGTTCGTTCTCACGATACAGGAATTTCGGTTTCCAGAATTCCCATGAATATATTTGTGTAAGTGGGAGTGAATGGAGTACCCATACTTGTTTGCTATGTTTGAAGGTTGTAGTTTTTCTCGAATTCAAAGCAGTTATGTGACAGTACTAGTTCCAGTAGTGTTAAATACACGTCAGTACAGTGTTGTGTGCTCTGTCGGGATAATATTAGCTCAACTGAAGTTAAGTCCTCGGGGATGGGAATATTTATATGTAAAGCCGTAACATCCAGTGTGACGAGAATGGCGTCTTGGGGTAGATTACCGTTGTTAATAATTTCCTCTATTATTCTCAGTAGGTGGGGTGTATCTTGCACAAATGATGGTAATGACTTCAGAATTACACCTAGAAAATTAGTTTAGAAATATGGAGAGGTTCTCAGTTGGGGTGTTGTTTGATACTATTGGGCGCCCTGGAATATCGGTACTGTAAAATTCTGTGGCCCATATTCTGTGAATTTCGGGAAGGAGATAGAACCGCCCGGCTGCTTTGCTGTTTGGTTTAAAAAATTTAAGTTTTAATGGAGTTATCAGTTTATCCTCCAAAAACGATATAAGCCAATTGGTAATTGTGAGTGTCTGTTGCTCTGTTGAATCATTATCTAATTTACAATAATGTTCAGGGTTGTTCAGTTGTCTGTGAGCTTCGTGCTTGTACTTCTTTATTGGCCATATTACTATGCTTCCCCTCTTATCAACCTCCTTAATTATGTCTTCACGTGGCTTGAGGTTAGAAATAATGCGGCTTTCTGAAGCAGTCAGGATCTTAAGTTTCTTAGCTGTTTTAGATTGATTTATTATTTCTGTAGTAATAGCTTTAACTTATAAGTCAAGTTCAACATGCTTGTTCTCATTCAGGAGTCCAGGTAGACTGAGCCCTATGTGCTGTAATACCTGTTCCTGTTCCGTCGTTTTGGGCGGAAGAATGTCTCTCATGCGCTTTCGTCATGAGCATTCGGTGAGGTCTCTGTGAAGCTCCAATTTGTTTATTGTGTTGTTAATTGGAAAAAAGTTTACAGCCTTACTAAGGATGTCTGTTTCCTCTCGACTTAATGACCTTGAAATGTCTAGAACATTGGACTGCTTTTCGATTTGTATGGAGGTGTTAGCTGTGCTTGGTACTTCTCTGTTTGTATGGTCAGTTGTTTGTGTGACAGGGGTGAATGCTCAGGGCAGGGCTCCCTGATTCGAAATCATTTTCTTATTCTGCTTCTGCCTCAATTTTTTCTTTTGTTTTTCTTGGAATTGTTCCAGATCGCTTCTTTCTCGGTTGTTAGGACTATATTGAGTAGTTTTTGGCAAATTCTTCAATTTGTTCGATGAAGTGGTTCGTCAGTGTGTTTAGAAAAGAAAAAGGAATCGTTAAGTGTTTTTTTGCCAGTTTGCTTGATATTGCGAGGATAGCGTGCTTAGTGCGGGTGTAACTTTTAATTTATAAGTCCTTTGGGGATTATGTTGTTTTTATACAGCGGTTGTATGTGGCGAGGTGGAAGGAGTAGTTAGTGAGCTTTTGGGTAAGTTTCCTACTGCTTAAGAATTCCAGCGGTGTGCAGAAAGCGGGTTGGCGTTTCCGCGAAAGTTTCGATTGTAGATTTGGTTAATTCTACGCTCACTGCGCCTGGTTGCTGGCGGTTTGGACGTAAGCATGTGGTTTGTGTAGAAGCTTCTGTTGTGGAATTCTTGTTGGTGTCGTTTGCCTCGGTTTGGCTCACAGACGAGTGTGCTTTCGAAGCTGAGTATCTTTCTGTTTGTGTACTGAATGTTGTTTTGTTGGTAGGTGTGGTTGCAGTACGTGGCATCTAGTGGAAGCAAGGACCATGGAGGGGCCTTTTGAGGGATGATTAGTGTTTGCGTTACGTTTCCCTTTTATGAACTGTTTAATTCGCTGTGAGACTACTTCAACTTCTTGGTGGTTACAGTGGAGTCCATTCCAGGCCAAGTGTTCGTGGGGTGACTCGTGTATTCGTGTATACATCAAAATGAAGATAATTTAGTTGAAGAAAAAATATAAATAGTATGCACAAAAATTACATACAGAATCAAGGAAAAGTAGCAAAAAGAAAGTTTAACAAAAAACGAACATAAAGAGTTATAAAAAGCATGCATATACAAATAAATTGTGAAGTAAAAAAAATTAAAATATACAAATTGTGGCTGAATGTTTACTTCCCTAAATGTACAGGTTTGGTCTGCCTATCTATAACTTATGTTTTAGCGTCCTTCAGAATTGCTGTATTCGTCAGCACAACACAGCTGATGACTGTCATGCCACTGCAGGAAACAATTCTTAGTAGTAGTGAAACATAAGTGCACATCACATGTTTTGCAGAAGCAATTAGTTTCTGTTCAACTTTGCTGTGGTCGTAGCACAGCTTGCAGCTTCTGCGCCGTTTTGCCTTTTCTGGCTTGTGCAGTGTTGGTTTGCTGGAGGGCTGTGGAGGCGTGCAAGCTGGCTGGGCATCATCGAAGTTGAAAATTTGACGAACGAGTTTTTTGAATGCCAGGTTATCATATTCCGCTTTTCTTTGAAGTTTGGTTTCTGGGTGTGATGGGCGGTGTGCTTGGAATAAAATAAGGCTGTTCACACAAGCCATGTCAATGCAGTGGAAAGAGGGTGTCTTTCACCAGCAAACACTTCTCGTGAGGACGGTGTAATAGCCTATCATTTGGTCCGATTTATCTACTCCGAGCATCGCAGCATTGTACTCGTGTATTAGCAATGGCTTCTATACAGAAATTTCAACCCAAGTGTTCCTTGTTTTTCCTTCTTTTTGCTTTGATCACCAGATTAGCTGCGTGGATGGTGCTCATCATGTTTGCGACACGACAGTCTTTCCACTGGTAGTATGATATACAGTTGAAACCCGCAATAACGAAATCGGCGGGGAAAGCACAAAATTTCGCTCTTGTGGGAATTTCGTTGGCGCGAGAATGCAGCAGAAAAGACATGAAATTTCGGAGAAAAAAAAAAATTTATTTCCAACAGTCGGTAAGTTTACTTTAGCAGGCCTTACCATGCGGCAATTTCATGCCTTTCGACTCGCACTGTAAAAAATAGTTCCTCGCCACGTCGTCGCCGTGCTCGCCGAAAAACGTACGAATTGTGTCGAAGGCGTTCAGCACATCCTGCGGACTTGTTCTTTTCTCTGGCTGCTTTGGTCGTTGCTCATCGGGATCGGCCACCTCACACACGCTACTGACGATGGCTTCATCAGTCACTTCTTCTTGCTCGACGACGCCTTCGTCCCCACTAACGAACTCATGGACGCTGAGGCCATTGGGAATCTCGTTTGCCACGGCACAAAGTTCGCCCCATGCACTGGTCAGTGACGACGGCACTGGGCTGTTACCAGTACCGTCATCAAATGCGCCTACAGGCGGACCTTCTGGTTCTGCTGGATTAGTGCATGATGCCTGCGGAGTGGCAAGGCCGGCGTGTGTGAAGCATTTCGTTATCACGGCTGGACTTGTCGCAATCCATGCGGCGGCGATCATCTCTAGCGCCATGAACAAGTCCACGTCAGTTGGGCGCTTCATATGTATATTCAGCAGCAAACGCTGAATCAGCCTCTCTCTGTAAGCACACTTCGCGCTGCGAATAACTCCGTTATTCTCGGAAGTGCCGTTTGGTGGGAAAAACACGACGCACACATTTCCGAGCTGCACGTCGACGTGATGGGCGCTACAGTTGTCGAGAAGAAGGCAGACTGACCTGTTTGCCTTCCGCATGTCGGCATCGAAAGACTGGAGCCAGCTGCTAAAAATAGCACGCGTCATCCACAACTTCAAGTTCGCGGTGTAGCTTACTGGCAGCTTGCGATTCCCCTTGAAACAGTGGGGCTTCTTGCTCCTGCTGATAATGAGCAGTGGCCGTTTATTTGTGCCATTCATGTTGGCGCACAATAAAATTGTCACGCGCTGCTTGCTGTGCTTTCCATTGTGGCACTTCTGGCCTTTGAAGTCGAAGGTCTTGGATGGCATTATTTCATAAAACAATGCCGTTTCATCGGCATTATATATGTCCGAGGGCTTGTACTGGCCGAGCAGTTCTTTGTTGCTCAGCAGCCACGACGATGTCGCCGAGTCGACGGCTGCTGCCTCCCCGGAGATTACTTTGGCAATGATGTCATGGCGAGCTTTGAAACGGCTCAGTCAGCCGGGACTCACCTTAAAGTTGTCGGGGCTGAGCATACAAGCGAAGTCCAGCGCCTTCTGTTGCAGGATCTTGCCAGATAAAGGCACCTTGTTGGCACGTTGTTCACAAAACCACGCGAACACCGCCTCGTCCACGTCCGGGAACGCGGCAGCCGTCACGGTTTTGTTTTTTGCACATGCGCCGCTTTCAAGTGCCCCAAGAATGGAGGCCTTGTTCTTGAGAATCGTGGCTGCAAGTAACGAGCTGCAAGCAATGCTGAATTCTTCGGTGATGTCAATTTTTTTTCTGCCCTTTTCCACCTCGCTGATGATTGCAGCTTTATCTTCCAGCGTGATGAACTTCCACATTTTCATTGGGGGCGGCATACTCGCTGGCAGCAAAATCGGATGAGACAATCGCAACACACGGTTCACGTTGCACCAAGCGACCACGCGAACTCTTCACAAATGACTCCACACACGTGACCATGTATGCGCAAAGCCGACAAAGCCAAGCACAGAGCCAAGCCAACGAACGACACTCCATGAGGATTGTGGCTTTGGCTACGTACGTAGTCCGCAAAAATGAGCAGGTTATGGTGGCTAGAAGGAAGAGGTGACGCCAAGGGCCGGTCAAAAGCGATGCGCCGTTTCATGCCTGACGCACGGCGGCGCTGCTTGTCGTAGTTCGATGCCCGCTCGGCCGCTCGCTCTACGGCTGGGCGCGCGGCGGAAGTGCAAATTAGAAGTTCGCCGCACGCGCAAGTCTAATTTTGCTAAGCACGCAAGTGGCCTTAAGTGGCATATACTTCGGAACTCGTACCGAGCACGTCGAAGTGTTCTATTCCGATACGCATGACCGATGCAATCCCGAACGGCACTGATCCCTCGCTTCCGACTTCCATGCTCTATTCCACACTTCCCGTTTTGCACTCGACGTTAGTTTCGATAAAATACAAGGAAGAGACCATACCCGCTGTTTGCATGAGTACACAAAGCATGAAAAACGATTTATTTTTTCCAATCCGAACAACTGACAAGAAATCAATAACTGCACGTAAACAGAAAGCGTCTGTATCTGCGACTGCAGCACATCACTTTAACTAATAAAAGAAAGACTGTTCCAGTTTTTAAGTACAGATTATTTTTTTGCAAATTTAGAACACATTTTACTGAAAGCAGAATAAAAACATGAAGTCTGCAATTGGGGGAAAAGGTAAAAGCGCTTCCAAATCAGCGACGTGAAGCATAGCGAGCAGCAGCTATGAAACAACGTCGAGGCATTATTCGCCATGGAAGCAAGCCAGCAAGCCGCTGTAGAGTTCTCAGACGTTCCAGTAAAGCTTCAGACGTGGTACTTTGACGAGGCCCATGTAGACTATAAGGCCAATGAATTTCATCATTTTATCCAGAGTCATCTCTTCCTATGACCAATCCAAATGAGCATGCGTCGGTGTTTCGAGTATTTTTCCCCAGTCATATTTTTTGTGTTTTCGCAAAGTGTAGTGATCACTTGCGTAGGGAAACAAAGGGCAAAGAAGTTAAGGATTGTCAGAAATTTTTTAGGTCTGCTCCCGAGTGCCACATGTAATCAGTGATGTGCACGCCGGTGCAGTCGTGGTGCAAAGCCGATCCGTTTCTGCGCTGGTGGCAGTACGTCATTGTGATACGTTGTTGAAAGCTTGCCAAATTTAGATAACGCAATAAGAACCCGTAGCGATCACGCAAGCTTGAAGAGCAAGCGTAACGAAAAACGGAACTAATCTTTCTCCACCTGTTGAGCTTCCAGGCTGATCGCCCTCCGGCTTTCCGTTCGAACTGAAACCTGAGCTTCTAAAGCCGGTCTTCCGACACTTCGCCGTTTGTTTCCTCAACGGATTAAGCCGTCGAAGCAGTAGAATCGCTAGATACGGGTCGTTTTTTAAAAGCGCCAAGTCACGAACTTGACTCTATTCTTTCAATCAGCTGGCACAACCGCACCCGAGATAAACTGCGATTGTGCGCCGCCGCCTCTCGGGGAAAAAAAAAAATGAATTACTCCGAAAATTTAAGACTAGTGTAAAGACTAGTGTTAGAAAATTTAAGACTAGTGTTAGAAACACTGTGCATGTTGCGCTACATGTGAAAGCGCGAAAAAAGTTTAGTTTGAAAGGGCGTTGAAAGCTATCGGTTGTATAAGACCGATCGCCGTATGAAGTGGTCTTGAAAGTGTTAAAGAGACATCTGTGTTGGTTCCAGCATCAGTATGCTCATTGCTCTCAAGAAGTAGCTGCTCTAGTTGCAGCCACAAATGGATAAACCGTGTTTTGTTTTCTTAGTTCTACAGGGCATCATCTTTGCATCTCAAAAAATACACCAACTGCTTAGAATAAAAATAATAGGAACAACGTGGGGGGGGGGGTGAGAAAGAGAACAGCACTGTGTCACCGGGCACTAGGCTTCCTTGAGGTAATCAGCAATGGCAGTGCCTGTAGCAGCAACCATTGCAGCAGCAACCATAGCAGCATTGGCATGCAGAGGAAACTTTAACCAGGCGGCAGCTTGCTGCCTGGAATTGGCCTCCTGTGAGATGTGCGTACATTTAGTCTAGCTTAGGCATCTGTGTCCATTGCAGTGTCAGTTGCCTGTTCAATTCTGTTGCATACTTACGACTGCGGGGAGAGGCACATCGCCATAATACTTCGCAGATTCCATGTCGCGTTTTGCTATGCTCTGGCAATTTCCTTTTGGGGACAGTTTGTTGCAAGAAACACACACACACACGGAATAGTAGATACGAACGCTGGTGGTCACCTCGCGCGTTGTACTCGAGCTGTTTTTTTTTTTTTTTTCCTTTTTTGCTAAAGATCCTTCAGGGGTCTTGTCTAGTCTGTCTGTGTTTTTCGTTCTACACCTCTGCTAAGCAGCTTGCAGTGCATAATGTTTTGGAAATTATATGTGGAATCGAAGTGAATGTTGCAACATTCTTAGTTGACGTGCTCGACAAGCAAGAATGGGATTTGATGCATCAAAGCCATCATCAGGATGTGAGAGAGGGAATAGACAAGATCACTTTTAGACAAGATCACATGAGCCTTTATTTACAAAGACAAGAGCCTTGATTTTCACCATATACAAAAACAAACACAACTGAGCACTTTTCTGTGTGGTGGTTTGCAAGCAAGCTTTTTGTGTTAGAGTGCTCGATCAGTCAACGTGCTGCCCATCTTAGTTGATAGCGGTCTTATGAATTTATCAAACAGAACAGTACTGTGTATTTTGCGTGAAGCGCGTGAGATAAACTATGCTACCGCACTATGCCTTCTAGGCGGTAGCATAGTAGCACTTATGATGTCTGAACCAAAGAGAGCTATGCTGTAATTGTAGTTGCTGCAGTATTTTCGTAGTTGCATGGGAATTGTTAACACAAGCATTTAATGCCATTGCATTTCAAAGAGGCATACTTACATGCTGTCCTATTTTGCGACAACTTATAAAACACTGTTCAGCAATCTTCATGCAACCCAGATGAAATGTTTCGCACTAGCAGTCTCTGTTGCCCAAATTCGCTTTTAAACGACCTCTAAGATTGCATGCAAAAGCAAAGAGTAACTTTTTAACGTACCTGAACTTCTTAGTAGCTGCAGCAAGGCACAGATACACTTGGACTGTGTGCTTATAATGTGTCTCAAATAGGTACAAACGTGCAAACACTGTTGATGCCACGACTGAAATGACTGGGATTGCACGCTGTGCCCGGCAGACGAGTGTCGCTCGACTCGTGGCGAATGACCGCCATCTAGCAGCACCACGAGACGACAGCATTGCACTTCTCCGCAGGGGGACAAACCAAATGGGACGGCCGTAGGAATGGCGTGTGGGTGGCTAATCTTGTAAGCCAGCGGTTACTTGTTCAGGAAGGATAGCGAGGTTGAATGCTTGTAAAACGTCAGAGAACTTAAAACCGTTGTCTTATCGCTCTCAGTGAGCTCACAGGATGCTTTGAAATGTCAGTGACGTCGACTTCCTTTGTAGATTGCAAAATGCATGACAAGTCGGCCTCGAAAGTTCTGGCATTGTCACCGGGGTCTCTGAAAATGTCCAATATTGCCTCGCGACATTTCCTCAGTATTGACGCCACAGGTTTCCACATACGAAGAAATCCCAGAACTGCACATCATTCTGGGCTGTTCCATTTTTGGGCAGTGAAAGCCCAAGATTGGGTGGGCCTGAAAGCGCCTCCTGTCCAGTGTCTATTTCCCCAGCCTGACCACTTTTTTGACCTGGGCCTTGCTAAAGCACTTTATAATTTCTGCACATGTTTCTTGGCAGGACTCTTCAAGCATCTCAACTGTTTGCACAATGTTCACCTTTGTATGCCGGTGGTTTGAGAAGCAGTTTTTGGATGAGTCTACATTAGTAATAACATTCTACACTATCTATAATTTCTTTCTCTGGGAGCTGAATGAGTGGTTTGCGAGTGCATACTGCAGTTTACCAGGACTGACAAACCAGGACTGAACCACTGCCAGGGCCAGGCTTCCTTGCTGGCTCCACAGGCACCGTCAGCGGCACGTCGGGAACCCATACCTGCCAAATCTCCCGAAATACTCGAAAGACTCCCGGATTTTGAGCGTTTCTCCCGGTTGTACGGGTCATAGGAAAAATCTCCCGGAAATCCAGTTTGGCCCTACGTATCCAGTGCTTTTTCTGGCCACGTTGTAAAAAGGATTCTTTTTTTTTAGCGATGGCAGCAAGGTTCAACTCGGTTCAATGTTCGTTTTTGAGAGGCAAAAATAGCGCCAGGACATGCGACTTGGCTGGGTAGGAGCAGCGAAATCGCACATGGCTGTGCAGTTTTTGAAGGT